CTTCCTTCCTTCCTTCCTTCCTTCCTTCCTTCCTTCCTTCCTTCCTTCCTTCCTTCTTTCTTTCGTAAATTTTTCTTATCTTTTTAAACTTTTATTAATTACATTTTATTCACTTTGTATCCCCCCTCCTAGTCCCATCTTTTCTCCCCCTTCTTCACACATGCCCCTCCCCAAGTCCACTGATAGGGGAGGTCCCCCTCTCCTTCCTTCTGATCTTAGTCTATCAGATCTCATCAGGAGTGGCTGCATTATCATCTTCTGTGGCCTAGTAAAGCTGTTCCCCCCTCAGGGGGAGGTGATCAAAGAGCAGGCCAATCAGTTTATGTCAGAGGCAGTCCCTCTTCCCATTACTGTGGAACCCACTTGGACACTGAACTGCCATGGGCTACATCTGTGCAGGGGTTCTAGGTTATCTCCATGCCTGGTACTTGGTTGGAGTATGAGTCTCTGGAAAGACCCCTATGTTCAAATTTTCTGGTTCTGTTGCTCTCCTTGTGGGGTTCCTGTCCTTTCAAGATCTTACTATTTCCCACTTCTTTTATAAGATTCCATCACTCTGCCCAACAGTTGACCATAAGTCTCAGCATCTGCTTTGATAGTCTGCAGGGCAGAGTCTTTCAGAGGCCCTCTGTGGCAGGTTCCCAACTTGTTTCCTGTTTTCTTCTTCTTCTGATGTCCATCCTCTTTGCCTTTCCGGGTGGGGATTGAGCATTTTAGTCAGGGTCCTCCCTGTTGATTAGTTTCTTTAGATGTAAATTTTTCTTATCTTTAAAATAGGAAAACACTTGGACAGTCTAGGATGCAGTTCAGAAGTCGTCCAATCATACGGAGTGGGAGAAGTGGCTTAGCAGTTAGGAGTATCTATTTTGGGTGGCTCATGACCACCTAGAACTCCAGCTCCAGGGCTCCCATAAGCACCCACAACATACATTCACTTATGCACACACACACACACACACACACACACACACACACACGAAGTCATTGTGTAGATGAGGCCACTCTACCCCTGTATGCTCATTTTGCTGTGTCCCTCTCTTCGTGTTACAAGCCCACTAGATAGCATTCACAAAATACTGCCCACTGGTCATCCTCAGAACATCTGTGGCCATGAAAGCGTACCTGAAAGATGACACAGAATGCGTATCTTTTTTCCAGGTGTCCACATTTCTAAAGGACAAAGTTCAGAATTCTAACGGTCGCTTTGTGCTGCCAGTGTCTGGGCCTGTCCCCTGGGGAACTGAAGTTCCTGGAGTGATCAGGTAAATCCTCTGTGGCGGGCGACTGGCCAGCAGTGTTTGAGGGGCCAGCAGCACAGAGAGTGCAAACCCCATAGACTGCAGCACTGCCGAGCCCCTTGGCTCAACTTATCTGTCCCTTCTTCAGTAAAGCTCAGCTATACAGAGGTCAAAGATCTAATCCCAGCTTGACTGCTTCAAGGGAGGATCCCGAGGAAAGCCACCTCTTCCTAGGCTCATCTCCTCATCCGTTAAGTGACTGCAGTGAGAATAAATGGCCGCGCTCTGAAGTGCTTACACAGCTCCTGTCACTCTGCCAACTGAAACCATTGTCTTAATCTTTTCTTTGGTTGGCTTTAGGGGCACTGGGGATGGAACCCATGGTCTGGTGTGCTAAGCAAGTGTGCTGAGCTACGCCTCCAACTTCAGAGACTTTCTCTCAAAAGAGGGATTAGACTCCATTTTGTCCTGCTGTGTGCAAATGATGAGTTGGCCTCTGAGACTGCCCAAGCTCAGAGAACTCCCCGTCATGACAGCTTTTTATTTCAGAATGTTCAATGACAAAGGCGAAGAAGTGGAGAAGATAGAATTCAAGCATGGTGGAAACTACATCCCTGCACACAAGGAAGGCTCTTTTGAACTTTATGGAGACCGAGTCTTGAAACTGGGAACAAACATGTAAGCAAATTCCCCCTCTGAATGAACTTGAGTAGACAGAGGTTGCTTAAAAAAAAAAAATAAAAGACTTCTGCTCTGAAAAATCCCCACTGACTAGACTGAGGCAGTGGCTCAGCTAACAGGGTGCTTGCCTAGCATGCATGAAGCCCTGCATTCCATCCCCAGCACCACGTACAGTGGCATAAGGGTGCAAGCCTCTAGTCCCAGCATTTGGGATATGGAGTCAGGAGGCAAGAAAGTTCAAGGTTAGCCCAGGTGAGTTCACAGTGAGTTTGAGGCTAGCCTGGAATACATGGGAACCGTGTATGGGGAAAAAAAATAAGCAAACCAAACCCATCGATCACTGGAGCCATTTTCCCCAAATATAACTCACGCAGAGTGCTGGCATTTAGGTGCCAAGGATCCCTAGCAACACCTCCATAGGCAAAAAGAGTCATAATCTTAAGTAGCCGTGGAGAAGCAGCCAGCATCTCTGCTGTGGAGGGCCGCACCGCCTCCCCGCAATGCTGTGTCCCAGTACAATTCTCTCTGGGGCCTTTTCTTGGGGAAAAAAGTAAACTCTGAGCGTTTCAGGGCTCAGTTTTGTTCTACACTCACCACACCTTTCTGGATGCCATTTAACATCTCAGAATAAACACAGATGTGTTCACCAGTTAGAAGGAAGTCAGTGGTGCTGGAGAGATGGCGCAGCTGTTAAGAGCACTGTCTACTCTTCCTAGACGTCCTGAGTTCAATTCCCAGCAACCACATGGTAGCTCACAACCACGTATACTGGGATCTGATGCCCTCTTTTGGCATGCAGGTGAACGTGCAGATAGAGCACTCATACACATAAAAAATAAATAAATCTTTTCTTAAAAACACTTGATATTAAAAAAAAAAAAAAAGAAAGAAAGACAGAAGTCCGTGATGCAGGCTGGATAACAGCAGGTTTTCTGTTGACACCAGGTACAGTGTGAATCGTCCTGTGGAAACCCACATGTCTGCAACGTCAAAGGGCTTAGCCTCAATGCAGGTGAGTGTCTGCTCCCCACTTGTTCCTCTTGCTTCCTTCTGCACACAGAAATCAATATGGGGAGGCAGGAAGGGGGGTGAGGGAGGACTGGCCTTCAGAGCCAGTCAACTTTCCCTCACTGCTTGCAATCCCCCCCTTCGGCCTAACATGGACACAGGTTTTTGATTGCCGCCTTGCCCAGAGCCTTCCATTGATCTGACTAGTTAGGTAGTCTTTGGATTGGCTCGCCACCTTCGTTAAATAGGAGCCACATACCAGGACGTGGCAGATAGCTTGTACCAGAGCCATGAGGCCTGTGGCTGCTGCCTCCAACACGTGTGCAGATGTGGATATCAAATCATCCCTTTTCAGTGCTTCCTGGTTGTAAGAACATTATAGCCACCTTCAAAATGAGGTCTTCATCCCTCTGAGCTCCATGTTCACAAATCTTCACCAACCAGCCGCATACTAGCTACGGGACAAATCATGGACTGTTCGGTTATTAAGTGCTAATGGAACTGTGTCCATGCTTGGGTACCAGGACAGAAGCTTGGTATAGACGGTCCCACCCTGAAGGGGCTTTTGGTTCCCTGGGAAGGACAATGGCAGACACAGACAGCAACAAGAAAGAAGGAGCATGTTGACAGTCTATGCCAGAAGACCTTGTGTTCTGTCCTTCTGGGTGGGGGCAGGGGGACAAGGCATCGCAAAGGCTTTCATAGGAGGTGGCAGGGAAACAGGGCTCCAGAGTGGGCAAGACACCAAAGAGCGGAGGAGGAGGAGTGGGTGGCAGGACAAGCAGAGACAGGGAAACATGTCTTGTTTGGAGGCGGCTAGTCTCCACATGGCTTGAACATAGCACAGCAGAGCCAGATGGCAGAGGCTGTATTGGACACTGGGGCCTAATTTAAAAAGCTCTTAGCTCCTTTTTAGAGTCTTTGTTTGTTTGATTTTGGTTTTCATTTTTTGGGGGGTTTTTTTTGAGATTTTTTTTGGGGGGAAGGGAGCATTCAAGGTAGGGTTTCTATATGTATCCCTGGCTGTCCTGGAATTCCTCTGAAGACCAGGCTGGCAGGCACCATTTTGTTCTTTATACAAGAGGTAGAGGGCTTTGTTTCAAGCAAGATAGAAATTAGAGTGTGTTTTTAGTAACTGATGGTAGTGATTACATAGAGCCCAGAGCCATGTAGGAAAAGTCTGGAAAAGGTGGTGAGAGAGAGGAATGGCCTAGAGTCTGTGCTCCTGGATGTCACCACCAGAGGGCAGTATGGGAGTTCCTCCGGAATGGTACCCCTGCCCTGCAGACTTGACAGGAGCCACTTGGCCTAGGGAACTGGTCTAACTGAAGAGGAAGCAGGGCCCTGAAGTGTGGCTCCCTGGGGCATTCCACTCAGCTTCAAAGTTGAAAGTCTGCCTTTTGCGTCTTTGCTAAAGCCCCTCTGCTGCTGACTGAATTATTCTTCTGGCTAAACTTGCTTTCTGTGCATTAGCTGAGCTCAGAAATCATTTAAACTGTTACTGTTTTTGCCTTGTATAATCCCTCCCTGCATCTCTGGGATTGTGGCAGGAAATGTGCTCTCCCTGTGTGGCTGCAAATCACACAGCTGTTTCTACAGGAAAACATTGCTCCAAACCCTCTGGCCAAAGAAGAGCTGAATTTCTTGGCCAGGCTAATGGGAGGGATGGAGATCAAGAAACCGAGTGGCCCTGAACCAGGATTCCGGTTGAATCTGTTTATGACCGATGAAGAGGAGGAGTATGTTTGAAACCTGTTTTTCCTTCTTTCCTTCCTTCCTTTCTTCATTCCTTCCTTCTTTCCTTGCTTCCTTCCTTCCTTTCTTCATTCCTTCCTTCTTTCCTTGCTTCCTTCCTTCCTTTCTTTCCTTCTTTTTTGAGAGGGTCTCATATCACCAAGATGGCCTCAAATTCACTATGTAGCCTTGAACTCCTGATCCTCCTGCCTCTGCCTCCCAAGTGCTGGAATTGCAGGTGTGTGCCATCACACTCCATTTATATGGGATCAAACTTGGGGCTTTTGCCCATGCTGGATCTAGTACTGTACAAACTGAGATAGTCCTCCAGCCCTAAACTTATTCTTTAAAGATATATATAGTACATTTCTTTTCCCCAAGGCTTAGATCAAGTGTAAATACATATATAAACCACAGACATGACAGCTGCAGACCAACACACATAAACACATATGTAAGAACCACAAGTGAAATACCAACAATCATTGCTGTCCTGATTAAAGACTCCCTGAGGATTAAGCAGATGTCGCTCCCTGAAATCATTCCTCCAAAAGCTCTAAAGTTTTACTAAGCACAAAGATACACAAGAAGTGTTAGGAGGAGCTAGGCTCCTCCTAACTCAGGGAGGCAGAGGCAGGCAGATATCTGTGAGTTCGAGGCCAGTATGGTCTACAAAGTGAGTCCAGGACAGCCAGGGCTACACAGAGAAACCCTGTCTCAAAAAACTGAAAAAGAAAAAGAAAGATAGAAAGAAAGAAAGAGAGAGAGAGAGAGAGAAAGAAAGAAAGAAAGAAAGAAAGAAAGAAAGAAAGAAAGAGAAAAAGAAAGAAAGAAAAGTTAGGAGATGACCAGACTGAGCCTGTGAGATGGCTCAGCAATTAAGGGTCACAAGCCCGGGACCTGAGTTCCAGCCCCAGGTCCCACATGGTAGGAGAGAGCTGATGCCCATGAGTTGTCCTCTGACTACCTACTTGCTTGCCATGGCACATGAACACACACAAATGTGGAGTACCGGACCCTGAGCTGTCCTCAGGCTCCCAGCCCTGTAGGAGAATGCAGAACATATTTCAGCTACGAGGTCACCAATGCCTTAAGTGACAGACAGCTGATTTGCACTGTGGACTGATGGGGCTAGGATGACCTGAGCCTCAGAACTTGCTGAGCAGAGAGAGGGAAAATGTTCTGAAATACAGGAATGGGGGTGGGGGAGAATTGGGGTGGAAAGGCGAGGGGAAATGACAGAAAATGAAGCAGAGAAAACAGGTTACCATGTTCTCGTGAGATGGTTCACAATGCTGGGAAGGGGAACACTACACTAACCATGGGTCCATTTCTTCCTGCCTCATCCAGATACGCAGCACAGTCCAGGCCAGAAGATTTATCTTACAAAGTCATCAACATCCAGGCTACACAGGTATGCGAGCGCCTCACAGGGTCCAGACCTGTCCTCCTCCTCATCTTGTAAAAAGTTTGCTCTCCAGGCATGGAGATGGCTCAGTGCTTAAGAGCACTGGCTGCTCTTGCAGGACTCCCGTCCAATTCCCAGCACCTATATGGTAGCTCACAACCATCTGTAACTCCAGTTCCAAGGGAGCTGATGCCCTTCTCTGGCCTCCATGGGCACTAGGCATGCATATGACGCACAGACATACATGAAGACAAAACACTCATACACAGAAAAATAAAGGTAAAATAGATCTTGTAAACACTTGATTGCCAAAGATCCCCTATTCTCCTTTTCCCTAATCTGGCAAAGAGCTGAGCTCTTTGGTAGCATGAAAATGTAAAATGACTTCCTGCCCCAGATAGGAGCCTTGAAGACATGTCCTCTCCTTCCCTCTGCCCTCCCCTCTTCCACAGGACCAGCAACGTAACGAGGAGTTGGCCCGAATCATGGGGGAATTTGAGATCACGGAGCAGCCAGAGCAAAGCGCAAGCAAAGGAGATGATCTGCTTGCCATGATGGACAGGTTATAGAAGTACAAATGGCACTCCTCCCCCTCCTCAAGAGACTGCCTGATGACCACCCTGGGGATAGAAGGCTGGGCACCCAATGTGTGCCTGCTGGATTCTCCAACTGAGGCCTGAACTTCTGGTCTATTTTTATGTCAGAACAAACTGTGAAGATCTTTCAGCATCCATATGTGTATTTTCAGCAAAATATATCCTGGCTCTTAACCCAGACCTTCCCCATTATAATGAATTCACTGATGTTCATGCAAGCCTCCAGGTCAGAGGCTGAGCCCAAGCCCATAAGGGAGCATCGCCATTAATTACCACTGTGGCTTTACCAAGGCTGCTTTTTTGCGTCTCACAAGTGCCTGTAAGGACAAAAGAGAAACGCCTGAAATCCCTGCACTGAAGCAGAAGGGTAGGAAGTCCCAGGCCATTCTGGCTGCATAACATGACGTGTCTCAAAAAAACAAAAAAAACCTGGTGACCAAAATTTGATTCCTAGGAAAATACATGTCAAAAACCTAATGTGGGGACTGGAGAGATAGCTCAGCAGTCAAGAGCACTGGCTGTTCTTCCAGAGGTCTGAGTTCAATTCCCAGCAACCACATGGTGGCTCACAACCATCTATAATGGGTTCTTTTGTTGTTGTTTTGTTTTTTTGTTGTTATTGTTTGTTTTCTGTGGTTTTTTGACACAGGGTTTTTCTATGTAGCCCTGGCTGTCCTGGGACTCCATTTGTAGACCGGGCTGGCCTCAAACTCAGAAATCTGCCTGCCTCTGCCTCCCAAATGCTGGGACTAAGGTGTGTGACACCGCTGCCTGGCTGTAATGGTGCTGATGCCCTCTTCTGGCATTCAGGCATGCATGTAGTGCATTCATACATAAGATACATTAATCAGTTAGTGTTTAAGAAGCTGATGTGCTACCACACATCTGTAATCCCAGCACTTCTACGGCAGGATAGGAAGTGGAGACAGGAGGATGGTCTCGAGGCCTGTGGGCCAGGTCACCTGGGACCTCCACATGCATGCCATGGTATGCATCATACACAGACACACATACACACAGCTACTCTAAAATAAATGGCTGGCCTTGGTGGCACATACCTGTAATCCCAGCACTTAACAGGTGGAAGGAAGAGGATCAGGAGTTCAAGACCAGCCCCAGCAACATAGGTTTGAGACCAGCCTAGACTTAAAAAAAAAAAAAAAAAAAAGACAAGACAAGAGAGAAAAGAAACCCAGGGATGGGGAAATGGCATAGTGGGTGATGTACAACAGAAGAATGAGGCCCTGAGTTCAGACCCCAGAACCCACATGAAGCCAGATACTATGGCATGTGTCTGTACTCTCAGCACCCTACAGGTGGATTTGAAGCAGAGGTAGGAGAGCCCCTAGAAGCTGGCCAGGCAGTTGCAGCAAGTCACACAGCAAGAACCAACACTTGAAGCTGCCCCCAGACTCCCGCACGTGCGCCATGGCACACCTGTATCTGCACTTTACACACACGCACACACACACAAAGAGTTAAAGATTAAATGTCATTTTTTTTAAAAAAGTGTTCTGTTCAGCTTGTCTTGCAGGTAAGTCTGAGATCAGAGAAAAGAGCAGTTATCTCATGTTATCTCAGTGTATACCTAATTTTATGTGAACTTGACACAAGCTAGAGTCACTGAAGAGACCGGAGCGGAGCCTCAGTTGAGAAAATGTCTCCATGAGATCAACCTGTAGGCAAGGCTGTAGGCCATATTCTTAATTAGTGATCGATGGGGGAGGGCCCAGCCCACGGTGGGTGGTGCCATCCATGGGCTGGTGGCCCTGGATTCCATAAGCAAGCAGGCTAAGCAAGCCATGAGGAGCAAGCCAGTAAGCAGCACCCTTCCATGGCCTCTGCATCAGCTCAGGTCTCCAGGTTCTTCTTGCCCTTTTTGAGTTTCTGACTTGATAATAAACAATGATGTGGAAGAGTAAGCCAAATAAACCCTTTCCTCCCCAGCTTGCTTCAGTCATGATGTCTCATCGCAGCAATAGAAACCCTAAGACAGTCTGTCATGGCTCACTTAGAAGGCCCCCTCCCCCCACCTCCCACCCCCTGCACATGAGGAGCTGTCACCTCTGAGAGGCAGCATAAGCCAGACAAGGGCAAGACAGGCTTTGCTAGGCCCTGCTAGGCCCAGGGAGGACACCTGGGGGTCAGATGCTTGCTCTTTCCATGCATTTACTCTTTCCCTGAATCTACCTTTATCTCCAAAGATATCAGCTTAATAATGTGCCGTGACATCTGTCTCCTCTACATAACCATTAAGCACCAGGCAGAGCCTTAGGCTGGCTGTGTGTGGTGTGCCTCCCCCAGGGCCTCATGTGAACTGCCTCAGGTCAGGGCTCCCTGAGAATGGAGCCCTGTCCCACGTGCTCCCTCCTGGGACCAGTGACCCTGCGTTCCCTCAGGGCCAGCCAACTGTCAGAGGTCAGAATCCATTCCTATAAGAGAAATACCTGAATGGCAGGGAAACACAGTTGAGCAGGCCACTGTGTGAGATGGGGTCAATTTGAAGAGCCACTGAGTCCACACCCCATGGGAAGTGTGGTGATACAGTGATGGAACGCAAGATCTGGGAACCTGCCCTTTGGCTGGCCCAAGGCATTGAGCTTCAACTCTGAAAGATTAGCCACCAGATGAAATTGTTATCTCTCACCCAGTAAAGACACCCTCCCCAGGTAGCACATACCTGTGATCCCAGCACCCGGGAAGGCAGAGGCATTCAGATCTCTGAGTTTGAGACCAGCCTGCTCTCCAAATCCGGTTCAGGACAGCCAGGGCTGTTACACAGAGAACTCTGGGTGTGGTGGCACATACCTTTAATCCCAGCAGCAGAGTCAGGTGGATCTCTGTGAATTGGAGGCCAGCCTGGTCTACAAATCCAGTCCAGGACAGCCAAGGCTACACAGAGAAACCCTGTCTCAAAAAAAAACAAAAAAAGAAAGAACAAGAATGGACATTGGCTGGTGAGCTGAATAAGATAACTGCTCATCGGCAGGAAATGTTTGTTTTTATTTTCCATTTAGTATTTATTAGCACGTGCAATGCATGTGGAGAACAGTGGACAACTGTCAGGGTCTATTCTCTTACTCCACAGTGGGTCCCATGGGGTCAAACTCAGATCATCAGGCTTAGAAGTACTCAATCCACTGAGCTACAGTCACTGGCCTCTTTTTTTAATGTCTTAGTTTACAATCCTGAGGGTTCTGGAGTTGTTTGGTTGTTGGTTTTGTTTCTTGTTTTGCTTTTTGCTTTTTTTGAGACAGGGTCTCACTATGTAGCTCTGACTGCCCTGGTACTTTTGACTGTCCTGTGACCAGGCTGGCCTGGAACTCACAGTGATCCTCCTGCCTCTGCCTCCCAAGTACTTGGGAATAAATGTGTTTGCTACTGAGTACAGCTACATTTAAAGTACTCTGTTGGGCCCTTTATGCATTTATGGTTATTCTGAGCCACATGCATCCACGGGCTGCAGGTTAGGTCCACCAGTTTCTGTTATAGAAGATGATTCTTAGATTGCCCGCTGCAAATATACTACATGCATTCTGTTTAGCCTCCAGCCAATCTGGCCCACAGCTGGGGACTGACTGGGCAAAGGTGAAGGGAAGGTTCTGCAACTCTCCACACTGTCACACACATAGACTTCACTGTCATCTGGGACAGGATCTAGGAGACAGGCCACAAGCTGCCCAGAAGTCACGGCCTCTTCCCTCCACCTGTTCTGCAGAGATGCTGACAGCCTGAAACATATCTGCCCTCTCAGTAAATAAACAAGAGATACACATCTCTGCTGATGAAGTAATCCTTGAGTTTCATGCTCCTAGACCTGCACAAATATTGAGAAAAGCAAGTTTATTTGCATGGTGGTTAAAGCATGGGAGTCAGGAAGGGAATAAGAAAAACAAAATAGGAGCTGGTGTGTGACTCAGTGGTACAGCAGTGTGTGAATCCTCAGGCTCCATTCCTAGCACGGGGTGGGGGGGAACTCTAAATAAAATTTTGACTAAGTAATATACAAGTCTCCATTTAAAATCAGACCAAAGGGTTTGCAATATAGGTCAGCAGGTAAAGGGCTTCACACACACACACACACACACACACACACACACACACACACACACACACACACACAGACTTGAGTTCAAGCTACAGAATGCATGTAAAAGTAGGAGAGAATCCACTCCTCAAACTTGTCCTCTACCTTGTACATGTGCCACTGTGTCATGTGCATGCACACATCAGGCACTCTCACAGAATGAATAAATGAATGAGTGAATGAATAAATACCAAAGAGGCACAAGGGCCCCATGCCCAGCACTGTTGGAATTGCAGCACGGTGCTCTGGTCCCATCTCTGCCCCAAAGTTTCTGTTGTCTTGGGCCAGTTACCACATCAAGAAAGCATCAATACTCTTGACTGTAAGAAAGAAGCAGACGTTCTAGTGCCCTCTTCTGCGTGCAGCTGTACATGCAGATAGAACATTGTATACATAATTAATCTTAAAAATAAAAATAATTAAAAAAAAAAAAGCCAGGTGCTGTGGCATAATCCCAGCACTCTGGAAGGCAGAGGCAGGTGGATCTCTGTGAGTTCCAGGCCAGCCTAGTCTACAAAGCAAGTCCAGGACAGCCAAGGCTACACAGAGAAACCCTGTCTTGAAAAACAAAACAGAAAAAGAAAACCTATTTTTGGTAATGTTTGTCACCTAGTGACATCTAAGTACCAGTAGGACATGAAAATATAACACAGAGATATCTGGAAAAAGGACATCTGTAGAGCAGTCTGGGCTGAGTGCTAGCTAGGCATGGGGCTCAGAATGGCAGAGAAGGCTGTACAGAGGCAGGCACTGTGCCCAGGGAAACCTGATGAAGTCCTGTCACCAAAGCTTATTTAGCTTAGCAGCTTACTCCCAGTTTTACTGCAGATAACACTCTGACCTAGATTCTAATGGGAATAGTTGTCTACGTTGGTCTTTTCTTTTTTTTTTTTTTTTTAAACTAGAACTTGGAAGCCATTCAAACTGGTTGAAATCACCAGTCCTTCCCCTGGGCCCATGCAAGTGTCCAGTGGGTGATCTTTGGATTAAGAGCAAACGCCACACTTACAACAGGAAACCTCTGGAGTTTTCTCTGTGAAGATCCATGGGGTTTGCTCACCCCTGTGCAGAACACAAACCATTTCACTTCTTTTTTTTCTCTCAGTTGCTTCCCCTATAGGTCAAGCCATTGTACCCGGGGAAGGGAAGATGGGGTGGGCGGGGGCAGCATCTGTCTCATATTTGGGTGCCCCATAAATAGCCTCCCCCTCCCCAATTCATCATTTTGGTGACTTGCATAACACACAGTGAGCAAAGCAGGCCTTGCTCTGTAACAACCACCATGATAAAATAGAGTAGGGCAAGGGCTAGCACCTTGCACTGTGTGTGCACTTAACCCCAGTATTTGGGAGCAGAAGCCAGAACATCAGGTTTAAGGTCTTCCAGGACATAGCGAATTCAAGGCAGAATGGGCTGCTGGAGACACAGTGGCAAAACGAAACAAAAAATAAAATCACATTTTAAAAATAGTTATTTTGAGGCTGGGCACAGTGGTGCACGCCTGTAATCCCGGCACTCAAGCAGGCAGAGGCAGGCAGATCTCTGTGAGTTTGAGGCCAGCCTGGTCTACAAAGCAAGTCCAGGACAGCCAAGGCTACACAGAAAAACTGTCTCGAAAAACAAAAATTGGTTATTTTCCAGCCAAGTGTGGTGGCGCACACCTGTATCCCCAGCACTTGGGAGGCAGATCTCTGTGAGTTTGAGGCCAGCCTGGTCTACAGAACAAGTTCCAGGACAGCCAGGACTATTGAAACCCCGTCTCAAACCCCACCCTTCTACAAAATGAAAGAGCACCTAATGCTCTTGCAGAGCTGGGTTCCCAGTACTCACATCCAGCAAGTAGTTCACAACAGGCTCACAACAACTATAACTCTAGTTTCAGGGGATCAGACAGCCCCTTCTGGCCCATGGCCAACATATATATACTCTCGCTCTCTCTCACACACACACACATACTTTTTAAATAGAGATGGTATTTTAGGAGCTGGACAGATGTCTCAGCTGTTAAGAGCACATACTGCCCTTTCAGAGGACCTGAGTTCAGTTACCGAGCACCATGCCACCAATACCTGAGTTCCAGGGAACTGATGCCTTCTTCTGACCTCTGAGGGCAACCATTTCTCTGTCACACAGCAGCATATCTTTACACAGACACACACAAACAGTTGAGTTAAATCTTGCTAGATTGTTTTTTTGTTTTTTTTTTTTTTTTTTTCTGAGACAGGGTTTCTCTGTGTAGCTCTGGCTGACCTGGAACTCGCTTTGTAGACCAGGCTGGCTTCAAACACACAAAGATTTTGCCTGTCTCTGCCTCCCGAGTGCTGGAATTAAAGGTGTGCACCACCACACCCGGCTCTCGATTTTAATTGTTAATTACAGGCAGTGAAGAGCTGGGAACCAAGCCGGGCATGGCAATAGTATGAGCTTTTAATTGCTGAAGTTTAGCAGTTAAACCATCTCTCCATAGCCCCATGTCTTCCTCTTTGAGACAAGGTTTCTCTACATAGTCCTGGCTATCCTGGAACTCTGTGTAGACCAGGCTGGCCTCAAACTCACAGAGATCCACCTGCCTCTGCCTCCGAAGTTACTGGAGTTAAGGTGACCCACCCACGTCCGTCAGGCCACATTCCCGCAATCTGAACCAGGTGAAGAAGGTTTATCCTGTATCCTGTTTTTTTTCGGATTATTATTATTTTCAGATGTTCTCTCCCACGCAGCGCTATCACCTCAGCAGGCCATGAGGGGACACAGCTCCAAGCCTACAGCCCACAAAGGTGGGAAACCAGACTGGCGGGAGAGGGAGGGGCCGGTGTTGGGCGTGCGGCGCGCAGCCTCCTGGGACTTGTGGTTCGCGGCCTGCGGAGCGCATGCTCTGAGTGCCGGGGCTCCCGCGGTTGCCATGGCTTCTCTGAACCGCGGTGGGTGGCGCCCCTAGACCAGGCCGGGTTTTGGCGGCGTAGTGCGCGGAAGGCGGAAGGCATCACGCGGTGGGTAGAGAGGTCGAGTGAGGGGCTCAGGGCGCGCTGGGACTCGAGCGGCCTCTTTCCCGGGCTCACAGGCTGCAAACTCCTTTTCCCACCCTTAACGCGCGGTGAGGAGTGGGAGTCACTCGCCACCCGGGTTTTCCGGATGGGACTAACAAGCTTGGCCGCTAGTGGTAAGCCCCAGGCCTGCAGTCCTGGAAGTGGCAGAGCCGAAGCTACTAAAGTCTGGGCCTGCCTGGAGATCTCCAAGACTTGCCCCGTTGGATTTTGTTTGTTTTAAGGCAGAGTGTCCTTCTGTAGACCAGACTGGTCTGGAACTCGGAGAGCCGCCTGCTTCTTTCTCCTGAATGCTGGGATTAAAAGCTTGCGTCTTGGCTAGGTTTTGTTGGGTTTGTTGAAACAGTGTCACACCCTATAGCCCAGGTTGATCTGGAGCCCACGAGGTTATTCAGGACGGCCTGGAACTCGAGACGCTCCTACTGCTTCAGCTTTTAGAGTGATGGTATTACAAGTGTGCGCCACCATGGTTGGCTAGGTTACGTAGAAACAAGTACCTGGCAAAAGGACATACATGAATTACAATTTACAGCAGTGGTTCTCAAGCTCATTGGCACATTAGAATTATCTGGGAAGCTTTTTAAAAAAAATAGTATAGTGGTGCACGCCTTTAATCCCGGCACTTGAGAGGCAGAAGCAGGTGGATCTCGTTGAGTTCGAGGCTAGCCTGGTCTACATAGAGTTCCAGGACAGCCAGCACTATGTAAAGAGACCCTCTCTCAGAATAATGAGATATAATAATAATAATCCTTTCAAAATAGGATACCTTGCAGGATGTGGTGGCCCACACCTTGAATCCCAGCAATTGTGAGGAAGAGAGGCCAGAGGATCTTTGTGAATTCCAGGCCAGACTGGTTTACCTACCATTACATATCAAGATCCAGGCTAGTCGGGGCTATATAGTGAGAACCTGTCGTTGAAAACAACAGCAAAAGCCTGGACCTCTCCTCCCCGGGTCTCTGGGATGTAGAGGCCAGGCAAAGTTTTCACTTTGGTGCACAGCGAGGCCTCTGGACCACTAGTGTGGAGTTTCAGGGCTTGGCAAAGGTCCGTTACATCCATCTGTGTGCTCCTGCCCACAGTGAGCAGCCAGCCAGCGTGGAGCCATGGCACTGAGCCACTCAGTGAAGGAGCGCACCATCTCGGAGAACAGCCTCATCATCCTGTTGCAGGGCCTCCAGGGCCAGATCACCACTGTGGACCTTCGAGACGAGAGCGTGGCCCGAGGACGCATTGACAACGTGGATGCTTTCATGAACATCCGCCTGGCCAACGTCACCTACACTGACCGCTGGGGGCATCGGGTTGAGCTGGATGACCTCTTTGTGACAGGTCGAAACGTCCGCTACGTCCATATCCCGGATGACGTGAACATCACTGCCACCATCAAGCAGCAGCTGGAGATCATCCACCGTGTGCGAAACTTTGGTGGTCAAGGTCGGAGAGAGTTTCCCTCCAAAAGGCCTTGAGGCCGTGTCCTCATTAAGGTTCCTTACCTCCAGTGTTCTGAGCCAGCACCCTGCCATCCTCTCCTCCCAGTGACCTGGTGTCTTGAAAGACACCTGTCACGGCTGCTTTTCAATGGGTTCCACTTTTCAGACACAATTGGGACCCAGAGTTTCTTCTATCTGTGGCCTTGGGGTAGGTGATAATCCCTCTTTTTGAGCCTTTGCATCTGGAATCTCCGTCTACTGACTGACCACATCTATCAAGGAGTAATCAACTCTGTCAGTGAGGATTATTGAGAATGAATCACTTCTAATTCCCCGTTTCTCTTGACACTTGTTTCTTTTCTCATAAAACCAAACTTGGATTCATACAAGGCTGTGCCTGGTGTGTGCTGAGCAGGCTTCTTCTGGCTCCTGTGGAGTTCAGAAGGCTGGAAAGCACAGGAGGCTTTACTTGGTCTAGAATGTGGCCCAGGCAGTAAGGCTTGAGCTTTCCCAGGTATCATGAAGGAAGCTAGTGGAAAGTAGCCTTTCTGTTGAGAGTTCTTGAGGCCCTTGAGTCTTACTGCTATTGACTGAAGCCGAGTGTCTGGATACCCTGGGCCCTTCCTGCAGCCTGGAGAGTTCAGCAAACAAAAACTCAGTCCCAGCCAGGCATCTCCGTTCACACATGTAATCCCAGCTTTCAGGAGGACCATCTTGGGCTAAGAGTGATGTCCTCTTTAAAAACCAAAACATACTGGTTGTAGTGAATACGGTAGGATTTTCTGAAGGAGTCGGAGGCAAGAGGGTCCTGAGTTTGAGGCCAGTCTGTTCTATATACTTTAGCCGGGTGGTGGTAGTGCACACCTTTGGGAGCACTACCAAAGCACTTGGGAGGCAGAGGCAAGAGGATTTCTGAGTTCAAGGCCCACTCGGACTGTAGAGTGAGTTCCAGGACAGCCAGGGCTACACAGAGAAGCGCAGTCTCGAAAAAAAAAAAAAAAAAAACAGCTCAAGAAGAAAGAAAATGGTCTGAGGAAATAAAACAGATGGACAGGGAGTGAAAACTGCTATGCAGAGATCTTGAGTTGGAAAAGCTTGTGGGGAATAGAAGTTCTATGTGTGTAAGAACTATGTGTGTGTGTGGGCAGGAAGAGATGAGTAAATGATCTCAGGCTGTGAGCTCTAAGGACTGATTACAGTTTCTCTTGAGAGGAGGCCTTGCTGGAGATTGACCGCAGGTCCTATGCTAAGCACAAAGTCTATCAGCTGAACTACATCCCAGGCCCCGGGTTCCAATTTCTGAGACCCTGCCTCCAGGAAAAAAAAAAAAAAAAGAGAGAATTTTTCTTTAAGTTACTCTACCTTCTGTTTTGCCCGTGTCAGAGCTTCAGAAACTTAAAGACTTTACCAGCCCCCTTAATTTCTTTGTTTGGACCCTAGGGTCTTTTCTTCCCTGGTAGGGAAGTCTCATTAGGGGGTTTTCTAATGAGCGTCCACTGAGATTCTGCGGTTGATACCAATCCTGAAATGTTGCTGCCCCCTGACCAGAAGACCCCGTCCATCAGTCACTCCTGACCCAAATGTTATTTTATTTTATTTTTTGAGACAAGGAATCACTGTGTAGCCCTGACTGTCCTGGAACATGAAGACCAGGCTAGCCTCAAACTCACAGAACTCCACCTGCCTTTGCCTCCCGAGTGCTGGGATTGAAGGCATGGGTCACCTCAAGCTCCTGGAATTTTTTTTTTTTTCATGTGTATGGGTGTTCTGCCTGCATACATGTCCAGGTACCATATCTATACCTGGTATCCTCAGATGTCAGAAGAAGACATTGGCTCCCCTATATCTGGATTAGGGATAGTTAACGCTCGCCATGTAGATGCTGGGAATTTAGTCTGGGTCCTGTGTAAGACCAAACAGTGCTGTACAATGCTGAGCTGTCTCTCCAGCACCAGACCTTTTCTTTTTTCTTCTCCCCTCCTCTCCCTCCCTCCCACTTCTCCTCCCTTTTTCTTTTCTTTTCAAGACAGTTCCTCTATGAAGCCCTGGGTTGGCTTGGAATTCATGTGGACCAGACTGGCCTCCAACTTCCTGCTTCTGCCTCTATCTCTGAAGTGCTGGGATTAAAGATAAGTTCCATCACAGCCAGCAGTGTTAGATTTTTGTTTCGTTTGTTAGTTTTTTGAGACACAGTCTCATGAACCCCAGCCTAGCCTTGAACTCATGATCTTCCTGCTTCCACCTCTCAAGTGCTGCTATTATAGGCATGCACCACTGCAGCCTGCTCAGACATCAGGCTCTTTTGCTTGCCTTAAGACCTCTCAGGCCCAGGAAGTTCTTGGATCTTAGATCAGTTAGGTCAAATGCAGCCAGAGCTCCAGAGCTATATCTCTCTGGAGGGTCTTGTTGCCTCACGGGGAAATGAGCTAGCTCTTGACTCCTGGCAGCTCCTGAGACCTAACTTTCACACACGTTTCAGGCTCCCACATCCACCTTTTCCATAGTTTGCTAAATTTGTTTCTACATAGACATTCTTTCCATTCCTTCTTGAACGCTGGGCTTTTGGAATTCAGAAACTAAAAATAGTCTCTGTGTTCTGTTGTGTCTTCTATTCCCCTGAGGTAACAAATGGAGAGTGACCTGTCTGTGAACAAGAGGGGTTCAGGAACAGCAAGGAAAAGATGAGGGTGTGTTTCAAGATGATGTTGGAGTCTAGATCACCGTGGCATTTGCTCAAGCTTTCACATCCACCCTTGTTGCAGCACCATCCAAACTGGGGGTCCCGTTGATGGCAGAACCTCCAAGAACTCTTGAATGCTCAAGCAGCATTAGTCATACCTGCCTCTCATTCCTGGAGAGGAGTTTGTGGTGGAGGGGATGCTGCTGTTTGTAGGAAGGGGTCCACCAAAGCTCAGAGGACTGGATATAGCTTACAAGTCGGCTCACGTTAGAGACACAAGGAACGTTGATATGGCCACTTCTCAGCATGGCTGGGACTTGATGAAACCAGTCCAGTGAGCTCTAGTCTGGCATCCCTGCTGAAGGGCCAGCAAGGGTGACACGATCCCTTGAAGTTCTCATTAATGTTCCAGAAAGACCCAGAGATACAGCACATTTGTGAAGAGTGACGAAAGCAGCTTAGATTCTGCCAGGGAGTAGAACTATACCACCATGCTAGCTAGCTAGTTCTGGTCACAAGTTTAATAATGGCTGTACTCTAAGGCTATAAGTAATTCAGCTGCGCATGGTAGCACATGCCTTTGGTCCTAGTGCTCAGAGGCTGCTGGATCTTCTTGAGTTCAAGGCCAGCCTGGTTTGCCTACACAGTGAGTTCTAGGTCAGGGATACATAGTAAGACCCCGTCTCAAGGTGGGGAGGGGACAACGAAAGGGATAAAATAACCTTTGGAGGAAAAAAAAACAGTTTTTAATGGTGGAAAGGCTAAGAACTACTGACCCACTCCATTATGTCACGGTTGGAAAAACAGGTCCAGAGAGGGAGGAAACTAAGGCCAGCATCGTACCACCTGGGCTACCATGGGACTAGCTACCATGGGACTGTTCTGTTTCCCAGTACTCCTCACATTCTATTGCTCATCCACAGTGTGAGTTGGACACTCAGTACTTGATATACCACTGGATCTGGTGGTGCAGGCCTATAACCCTGGCTGCTGGGGAAGTGGAGGCAGGTTAGAGGTTCAAGGCCTGATAGTGCTATAGACTTGAGTGGAGAGGCAGCCTGAGCAACTTTAGAGACTGTCTCAAAAACAAAAGCCCCGGAGGTACAGCTCAGTGGTGAAGTATCTGCTACCATAGAAGAAACCATAGGTTCAGTCCCGAGCACCATAAAAGCAAAAACAAAGAACACCAAACACTACCATACTTAGCCTTGGCGCTTGGACATAGAGAAGCTAAAAACCAGCTACTAAGGAGGCCTGAGGTTCTGTAGTCTGAAGAAGCTCCTGGGGGTGAGGTCTCCCCTCCCTCTGTGATAGTCCAATCTGCCTATACCTTGTCAAGAAGCCAGCTTGAGCTGTTATGACAGGTGTCACTTTGTTACCACAGCACCATCTGCCAGGGAGCCAGAGCTGGAGAGCCAGCAGGAGACTGTCACCATGAATATACATCCCAGAGATCCTTGAGTTGGTGTCCTGACTGATGGCAGCTTTTTTTTTTTTTTTTTTAAATCTCTGGCTGGCACCTTTAGTTCCTAATCCTTACCCTCTTTCTCCTCCTCTGCTTTGCTAAGAATCCTCTATTTTGAGTCAGCAGAGAGTCTACAGGGAGTTGGGATGGTGGTGTCAGCGCCCAGTGATTCATCTAACTGATAATTAGAGATCTGAAAACCCCAAAACTCATTCCTGTCAGAGTCAGAGCTTCCGGAATCCCTAGTCTTCCCCCTTTGTCAGAGGGAGGGGTAAAGTGGGTCTGGCTTCTGCGTGCCTGCCTTTGGGTCACATGCCTCGCAGAGACTCCCTGACTGAGACCAGTGGGCATTCAAAGGGTGTGGTGAGCTGGATCTGAAACTCACTGGGTCCTCCCAGAGATGGTGTGATGTGTTATCTCTGTTTGGACAGCCAGGATTTACACTGAGTTACCTAGCTTGTGACACAACCGGAATTCAAGCTCTAGCCTTTTTGGAATCCACCGAACTTTCTTTAAACCACAGTCCAACCATTATGGGCTGTCATTACACTCTCTCTCTCAGCGCTAGCACTAGTCTCTAAAGCGCTTCACTTTGCATAAGACACCTTGAGGGCTGCTCTGATTACTATTGTTTCCCAGCCTTATCTGCAGCTCAGTAGCCACCAAGCCTTCAAAGAGACTAAGAAAGGCTGCAGGCTGGGGCAGCTAGACCTCATTAACACCAGCCTTCATGTCCCAGCAATACCTTGTGAGGAGATGACAAATGAACGCTTGCTCCTAGCAGGGCATAATTGTGGCCACGTGTACTTGCACGTGGATACAGAATGACTTAGGAGAGGGGAGGAAAAAGCTGAGAGTATGAAGCACCCTTGTTAACTCTGAGACAAAGGAACAGGACTATGGCCGCTGGTATTGCTGCCACCGAGCCCTTCTGGCTGCTCCTACATGGCCGTGGAGGGAAGCCAGGCTTTCCGAGGGCCCCCAGTGAGTCACCAGACTGATGCAATCCCTTTAAAGGGCTCATCTGCTGGTGTAAGAAGCTGATTCATGGAGGGCGTGGTTGCTGGAGGAGGAGAAAGGGACGGAAACTGGCAGGAGGGAGTGAGATAGACAGTCAGTTGTGATCGTTCATTGGAGCTCTTTAATCTCCTTGGACAAGACTCCAGGGATGTCCAGGATGAACTTGGCCATCTTTGAGGTTTCTAAAGGGCCTAAAATGAAATGAATTGTGAGCGCAGCGACAGCAATTCCTGTCTTCTTTGAACCCAACTTCAGCGCTTTTCCGTATACATTTCCAAAAGCCGAGAAATGCAGATCAAGGAAAGGCAGCTTTCCTAATGAATGCAGTGCGGCTGGTGGCTCCTGCAGCCACTTAGAGTCCACAAACCCAGCTAAACGAGCGTAGGGTCGTCGAGGTTCTGCAGAGCCAAGGTGGGGCGGCGCCTCCGTCCCAGTCCGACTGTAGATGTAAATTAGCGGTAAGTACCTCCCCCTGACTGGCCAATGGTTTTACGTATTTTGACCCAGACTCCACCCAGAACCAATCGACGATCTTATCTGAGCCTCCTGCCTGAAGGCTTCCGCCCATCCTCAAGATGGCACACCGCCCCAGACTTAGGCAAGGGGGCGGGGGGCGGGGCAGCGGGACGATGCGTCACTTCCGTTGTCAGGTGGCGGCGCCGCAGCCATGGAGGGAGGCGGCGGCGGCGGCTCTGGAAGCTGCGCTGGGAGGCGGCGGTGAGCGGCTCCCACGCCCCCGGCCCGGCCCCGGCCACCGGGACGGAGCACCGAGCAGCCCCGGCTCCGGGCTGCGGACTATGGGCGAGTAGCGCTGATCACCCGGGAAAGGTAAGCCCGTGGTCCCGGGACGCGGAGCCGGGTGGGGGCTGCGTGCTGGCGGGTCGGGCCTGGGTAACCGTGGCGAAGGGACCCCGGTGACAGCCCGAAGCTGACCGGCGCGACAAAAATGACCATAGCGAAGTCCCCCTCCGCCACTGGGGAGGTCTGTCCTTCCGGGCGACGGGGGCGGCGGCCGCCGGGAGCGTTGGTCCTTCTCCGCAGCCCTGGGGAGTGGGCACTGCCCACCTTGCCCAGACCCACTCGGCCGGTGAGTTAAGCAGCCGGCGTTTGCCCCGCGCTAGGTTTTCCCTCAGAGATACCCCCTCCTCCTCTCCCATGCTTCTCTCCTGACCTAGAGAGTGACTTGAAAGTTAGGACGAGTCCCCAGGGAGAGCCAGCCAAGGCTTCCCTCCTGGAGCCCTCACCCTTTGGCACCGACACCATCGCTGCTGGGGAATTTTCACATCCTGGGCGGCGTTCAGGTGCGAGTCACAGCTACCTGCTTGCCAGATCCACGTTGGGCCGGTCTTCACCGTGAGAGAGCTTGCTGTGGTCAGTGTTTCACCTGCCGTCCTGGTCAGGCCCGCCCATTCCTTTGCTGCTTGACTCCACCTTCCAACATTGGGTAGGAGCTTTCGGATTCCCGGTGGCTTCTCTGTCCACCCCCACTCACCCAGGTTGTTGGCGGAAGGAAGAGATGACAGCCGCCTTAAGTAGCAGGATAGACTTTGCACTGTTTTAAGTCACTGGTGAAAACCGGTTGGCTTTGCTGGTTTTGAGAATCATTGAGGAAGAGGGTAGTCATGCTGGGCTGGGCACCTTTCTCTCTTGGCTGAGTAGTTTTGCATGAGATAAGGAAGAGCAAAATCCGTGGAGGCCTTATTTATAAACAGTGCTGGGAGTTCCTCCTGCCCTCCTTAATGGTCCTGTTATGCCAGTTGTTTGTGGATTAGACCTCAACCTACAAGAGATAGTCCTCATTCATTCATTCATTTTTTTCATATAACAAAAAGCAGAGGCAAGTGCTGTGTAGTATTAGTAGGCTTTGGAGCCATACTCCTTACATTCTGGGATTAGAGGCGTGTGTCACCTTACTTCTTACTCCCTAAATTCAAATTCTGGTGCTGCAGCAGCTTTCTGGTTGTATGACCTTGGACTGT